ACAAAACACTTGAATTTTGTGACAAAAAACACTTCATTTTGTCTAAACTTTGACAAAAATCACGAAATTCACACATGTCACTATTTACACTGTTTTTGGCCTAAATGTCAGTACAAGACATATAAAAACGGACATTTAACTATACATCAATTAATACATTCAAATGTAAAGCAATTTAAATGTGAGTTTAATGATTGTAACAAAATGTACACTACTATATCAGATCTCAATGTTCATAAAAACGCCATTCATTCAAACGTGAGATATGTATGCGATTGGAGTGAATGTCGCAAACAGTTTACAAGAAAACAGTATTTACTTCAACACAAAAGTAGTGTTCATTTGAATGAAAGGCAATATTATAAGTGCAATGAAGAAAATTGTGGCAAACAGTTTACTCGAAAAACATATTTAAATGTACATAAAATTAGAATTCATTTAAATACAGATTTATTTAAATATAATGAACAAAATTGTTGCAAAAATTTTCAAACTAAACGGGGACTCATTCAACACAAAAAAATTCATTCTGATGAAAAACCATATGTTTGTCATTACAATGATTGTGGCCAAAGTTTTACCCAAAACGGGCATTTAAATGTTCATATAACGACAGTACATATCAATAGGAAACTCATTTGTAGATATAAGGGATGTAATGAATATTATTCAGACAATACTGCGTTAAAACAGCATATAATCGGTGTTCATATGAAGGGAAAGCCTGTCTACCAGTGCTCTCAACCAAACTGTGGACAAGTGTTTAAAAAGAAGTGTAATTTGTATCGACACAACCGTTGCCTACATTTACAGCTAAAGCCATTCAAATGTAATGAACATAATTGTGGCAAAAGTTTTCCTTATCAATCAGATCTCAATAGACATCAAAAACGAATGCATAAGAATTGAATACGAAAATGTTGTTTCACATTGCTCACATAGTTGTAATGATTTGATATTATACTGAAAAGAATTGTTATTTTATAATAAAAGCATCCACATACTGTATGTTATATTATGTATGCGATTGGAGTGAATGTCACAAACAGTTTGCAACTAAACAATGATGACTTCAACACAAAAGTGCTGTTCATTTGAAAAAAGGTTTATTTAAATGTTATGAAGAAAATTGCGGCAAAGGTTTCACAACAAAACAAACGTTTAATAAATACAAAAAACGTATTATAATAGAAAAATCAAATGTAAATTTCGTAAATGTAATGAATATTATGCAAACAATAATACATTAAAACAGCATTTAATTGATGTTCATATGAAGGGAAAGCCTGTCTACCAGTGCTCGCAACCAAACTGTGGACAAGTGGTTAGTTGTAAATTACATTTATATCGACACAACAATTCCGTGCATTTAAAACAAAAGCCATTCAAATGTTATGAACAGAATTGCGACAAATGTTTTGTAGACATATCTAATCTCAAAAGACACCAAAAATCTGTCCATAAAAAAGTAATTGTTTTTAATATAAAGCATAAAATTTACATTTGATTTTTCTATTATAATACGTTTTTTGTATTTATTAAACGTTTGTTTTGTTGTGAAACCTTTGCC